CCCCAAAACCCCAAAACCCCAAAACCCCAAAACCCCGTAAACTTAAAGTAATATTTAGAGAGTAGAAAAAAATGAATTGAAAAATGAAAAGCCCAACTGCGAGAAACATCAAACTAAACAAGAAATTATTGAGCATGCTCAAAGTCAAGATCCAGAGAAACCCTAAGGTTACTCTGGCAACTTTAAAGGCTAAAGTAAAGACTGGCATGACAAAGAATAGTAGAACTAGGTATAAAATATTTTCAGGATGATCATAATTTACATAGAAGGCCACAGAGGAATATAAGCAAGAATAGAAAATTATGAATTTCGTTGTCTACAGTCGCCAAAAACAGAAATTTTTTCAGTCCTCAAAGAACTATGCGAACAAAGACCAAAACAGGGGCTAACACAAATATGGAAGTCACTAAAAAACGTGAGATGCTTTCACCAGATGAGAGCAGAAGTTACCTCCTTCACTCTTATATGATAGGGAGAGTAAACTCTAAAATAAAAAATAATAGAATCATAAATGGCAGGTTTGTATCTCCCCTCAAATTATTCAGAAAAGTTCAAGGATTTCAGAGGTAAGCTAAATAGTCCCATTATATAACGAGGTCTATATATTTTGGAGCATATAAAGAAAAGAGAGCTAACAGACATAAAATAATACTTTGGTCAACCACATATTACTTGAAATTTTCGAAAATTAATTTATTCAACACTAATTCCTAAAAATACTTCCCATACCTGAAAAGTATTAACTCTTCTCCTCAGTATTTATCTAACTTCCTTTAGCATGAATAAGACATCAATAATAGAGAAGGAAGAACTGAATGGAGACTTCACCTCTTTGCCAAAAATTGCGAAGGGATTATAAATTTGCTATATAACTATTCTTGATAGTACTATATTTAACTCGTTCTTCAGGCGTGGCTAACTTGATCAGCTTTTTAAGCATTATGTAAGCATAATAGTCCCTTGTTCTTACTGGGGTTGAAGAGTCTTGCCAGAAGGGAATTTACCCAATATTTGGAGTAAATTTACATATTGGATGTTTTAAATTTAGCTTGTGGGTTGTGAGCGTTTTAATGGAGCATCTTTGGAATAGGAAAATTCTGAACTTTGTATATGCACTTTGGCCCTTTGGGATGAAAAAGGATGCCTTAGGGACTGTTAGTGGAAGTATTGGTTATTTAGAGTTTGAAGAATTTTCCGAAGTTTTCGAAAATATAAAACTGGTTTCTAAAGTCAGGTCTACCATTTTATGCCTTCTTTCGCAAGAGGTTTAAAACAATAGGTATCAAAATTTTGACTCAACTAACTTTAGCAAGAGTTAGTATTTCTAAATTCAACTAAAAATATTATAACCAAACTACTTCAACCTTCTCAAAATTAATCGGGGTTTTGGGGTTTTGGGGTTTTGGGGTTTTGGGGTTTTGGGGTTTTGGGG